ACGGACACCTAGAGCCCGCATGTATAGTTGACTACGCATGGAAAATCTAGAAGGCGCTTGCGCATTATGTTTATAAACTGCTGGAGGTTTTTATTAAACTTNTTAGCCAATTTTAAAGCATAAGTCTACTAAGCCTCTTCTTCACTTAAATCTTCGATTTCTTCTAAGTCCCCGGATTCATCTGCGGAAGACCCATCAAGATTAACTCCTTCAAAGTAGTAATCTCTTGCGTTAGGTCTTTCTTCAACGCCTGTGTTTTCGATTTCATCCAGTTCCTCATTGCTTGCATCAATAAGTGTACTGAAGTGCTCAGGTAAGTCGATCCTTTCTCTTGCGAAATACGGAATGACTCTGAACGCTCCAATTTTATTGTGATTGACTGATCCGTCCAGTTCACAAACTATATATGAACCTCCCTTTGTTCGACGTACCACAATCATAGGTCCCAGGTATCTTGGTTGCATTTTACTATTTAATGACGAGGATACTTGTGAATTTCTGATAAGCACCAGGTCTCCGGGTTTATACATTCGACCACTGATTTTATGGCGGTGGCTTAGTTCATATTTTGCCACTCTTTTCACTTTTTCTAAGGTGACCCTCTCACGCATTTCCGCCACATGCTGCCTGTGTTTTGCTAATGCTTTGGCTCTATAGCCAATCAATTCTGCAGTGGACAACATACGATCTGGTAATTTTACTAACCAGGTAGCCTCCTGTACGTCGAGAGGTAATATTGGATGTGCGCCTGTTACCATAAAGAACGGCGAACAACCAAATCTTTTTCTAATCATGATCCTGTCAGCCCAAAGTACTTGCCAAAAGAACCAATACCACTTGGCAAGGTTCTTGGGTCCACAGCACTTTGTGAGCATTTGTATAATATCCCAATGGGGCCTTTTGATTCTGCCATTTGCCTTAGAATTATACGGAGATATCCTAATACCCTTTATCCCATATTTTTCTTCGAGCCATTTTACAGCAGCAAGGAAAACCGAACCATTGTCAGTTATTATTACTTCTAGACAACCCCATCTGCAGATGACTTCTTCAAAAAGCCATAAGCCGACAGTTCTTGCAGTTTCACTTTTTAGGGGTTTTCCTTCAACCCAGCTTGACAGTGCACACCTCCCATGGACGATGTACTTACATCCATTTGATTTCGGAGTCATGTGTACGGTATCAGCGTGTAGTCGTTGGAAAATAGATGGTGTATGTGTCACGGTGGGAGGGATTTCCACCACACGCTTGGTTCGTTCCTGACAACGCTGGCATGTTTTCACATACCAATGTACGTCTCTTTCGATTTCAGGCCACCAAAAACGCTCCGTTAACATATTCTGCGTTGCATATGCTCCCCTATGTCCCATAGCATCGTGTGCAGATCTCA